AACGCAGTGGCAATTTGGTAATTTTTGTATCTAGGTTAAATTTAAGGTGCGTGAGTTTTGTGCTTAATGTGCGTGGGTTGTGTGCTTAATGTGAGTATTTTTTGAAACTTAAGATGTATGGGGTTTATGCTTAAGGTGCGTGTGGTTTGTGCTTAAGGTGTGTGACTCGTGTGCTTACTGTGAGTAGTTGTTGAAACTTAAGGTGCGTGATTCGTATGCTTAAGGTGCGCTAGTGTTATAAACTAAAGGTGCGCGATGTTAATACTTAAGGTACATCATTTTAACACTTAAGGTGCATTGTTCTAACCACATAAGGTGTGTGTTTCTATCACTTAAGGCGCGTCATTTTTAGCTTATGCTTCTTTCTTCCAAGCACGCATTTTTTTTTTCATTGATTTGAGCCGTTGATACGGATTTGATCAACGAAGATTTAACTGCACAACCGCAAGGGAAGCTATACCCGCACCTGAACCCTTCCATATATATATATATATATGTGTGTGTGTGTGTGTGTGTGTGTGTGTGTGTGTGTGTGTGTGTGTGTGTGTGTGTGTGTGTGTGTGTGCAAATGAAGATAGGTCTTTCCATGCGGTCAGTGCAGATTGCACCATTAGGTATATATGCATAAATGCACCACACAGTGTTCGAAAATGTACCAAAATGAAATGCACAAATGCACCACAAAATGCGCAACACACCAAAAAAATACACAACATCCAATGGTACATTTTTTGGACATTTTGTGGTGCATTTATGCCTACCTATTGGTGCAGAGCCGCACGGGAAGCACTATTCATACAGGAACTTGACCATATATATATATATATATATATATATATATATATATATATATATATATATATATATAGAGAGAGAGAGAGAGAGAGAGAGAGACTAACGGGATGAAGCCATTAAAAGAACTAGGAAGAAAGCTAGCTTGATTGAAGGGCACTCCATCATTACATATTTTGCCATGAGGAGGAAGCACAACTAGTATGAAGTGTTGGTGAGTTTGTATTAATAATATATAGATCAGAGTTGGTCTACTCATTTTTTTTGGAGCACTATTAACTCGATCTATTACAAGGCAATATATGTTGTAGTTCAAAGAGTAAATATTTCACAACTAGAATTCGATTCTGTGACCTTCCCTCAAGGAAAGTCACAGAGGTGTTATCTGAGTCCAAATAATTAATTTCAATTTTCATCTAAACAAAGTTAACAAACTTAATACATGAATTTGGTGTGAATCTTAATTGCTTCACCTAACCACTTTCTTTCTTCCTATAATACTTGTGCCAGTTGTGTGTGACCTAGCAATAAGTGTTTAAGACACCAGAAAATGGCAAAATTATATATTTGACCTATCAAGGACAAAAAATGAAGGTCTGAATTTGACATTATTATTATGGGTATTAGTGTATAAGTATTTGGGAGAATGTTATAGAACATTTAAATTTGAGGTTCAAATTTATAAAAAAAAGGAATAAGGGTCAAATATGTCATTGAACTGCACACGATAATGCAATTAGATCACTTAGCCTAAAAGAAAAACAATTGAGTCCTTAAACTAACCAATTTTATTCAATTAGTCAAATTTACCGATTTTTCAGTTTAGTAACATGTCACCCCAAATTTAAATATTTTTTTAAAAATTATTATTTAAAAAAAAATAATTATTATTATTAAAAAAAAAGCGTAAAAATCTTTTGACAAAGATCTTGTGGTCAAGCGGCATGAAGTGACTCTTCCAAATGGAAAGGCATGGGTTTGAGTCTCATTAGAGGTGGTATAGACTCGTTGGGCTTCAGTAAGTTGAGATTGTATATATGACAGATACTGGAAAAAAAAAAATGTATAAGGATCTATAACCCCTTTTTTTTCATTTCTAATAATTGGTACAAATTATATGAATGCGCTATATATAATGATCATCAATAACTATTGTAATAGATTGGCAATGGTTTTTATTACAACCCGTTTTATAATTAGACAACCTATAAATAACCTGATGGATCCATTCACTACTTTTTAGTTTTTTCATATAATATATATCATTTATATTTGAAGAAAAATGAATAAGGTTCAAATTGGCCACTGAACGTAACCTGAAAATGCAATTAGGTCACTGAACACTCTAAATGTATGCAATTTCACTTGATAGCAGGTTACCATCAATTTTAGTATGTTACCTACTTACATGACAACTGAGTTGGCATTTTTAATAATTTTAAATAATAATTTTTTTTTAAAAAAAAAAACAATTTAAAAAAAAAAACGACAACGGCCACCCCATCGTTTTTTATTATTATTATTATTTTTTTATTTTTTTTTTCATTTTTTAAAATTTATTATTAAAATTTATTACAAATTATTTAAAAATGCCAACTCAGCTGCCACGTAAGCATATAACTTGCTAAAATTGATACTAACCTACTATCCGGTGAAATTACATACATTTAGAGTGTTCAGTGGCCTAATTGCATGTTTTTGGAGTGTTCGGAAGAAAAATCAAAGAAGGAGAAAGAAAGCGATGAGCTTGTGATCTCGAGATCGTCGTGGACGCATTTGATGAGGCAAGAGTCATCAGATTTAATGAGTTGGAAGCCGGCAGCGAAGAGGAGAAGCAGATCGGAGAAGAAGCGAGAAGGAAGCCGGTTGGAGAAGATGAGGGTTGAATTACATGAAATGACGCTTTTGCCCATTTTATTTAATGAGTTAAAATTTTCTGGTCACATTTGGCCGGTAATTTGGCCGACGTGACCAAAATTGATAAGAATTGCATAGTCAAGGTACTAAATTAACATTTTTGAAAATCTAAGTGTTGCAATTAACACAACTCCAATAGTCAGTTGACCAAAATTTAAATTTTTCTCTAATAATAAACAATCTATGTTTATATTGGTGGCCACAAGAGAGTTTTCTATATAATGCTTATAATGTTTGTCATTTCGCAGAATATTAAGAAGCTGTAATAGACAATCAGTAACAAAAAGCTCAACACATGCTCATGTTTAAGTAGTTCTACACCATTCAGAGTATAGTCACAATTCTAATTAAATATCTAAGCCATACAAGGTAATGCTAATGAATAAATGATACTCAACTGGAAAACAATTTACTACCACATCCATTGTCATAATTATACCTTTTAAAGAAAACAGAAAGAAGGGGAAAAACAAAAAGAAACTGGCTATCAAGTATACTCAACTGGATGACATTATTTATATGTTAATGCACTCTCTAACAAATTTTAAAATCAAAAGTTTTTCAGCCATGCAGAACACTTATCATAAGCATGATGGGCACAATTGGTGCTGGCTACCTTAAGAGAAGGCATGCATAGCTAATATTGATAGTTACAGAGTTGCTAAAGTACTATTTACTTTATTGTAGTGTCTAATAGTATCTAAGCTAGCTTTTAGCTGTATTAGTAACATTCAAATTTTAGCAAATTCATCCTAGCCTAGTTGGGATGGTGTTTTGTTATTTAAACACTACAAAGCAATAGAAAAGGGGCCAGAGTTTGCAGTAAACATTTTTTAGTTTATTCTTGTGCTGCACTATCAGATATTCAGGTCCCATGCCTAGTGAAACTCTGGCAAGAAGAGCTTAACTTATTTCATCCGATTAACCACGGAGTCATCAACGTAAAAGCATTCACCAATTGTCTACGCATCATAAAATATTCAAACATTTTCACAAACAAATATATATATATATGCTCTAATCAAAGAATACACAACATTAGTCTTTGCAATGCAAGTTTCACTACAAAAAAAACACAAGAATAGCGACGGACAAATTCCGTCGCTAAATAGTGAAAATCTATCCATAAAGTATTTAGCGACGGGTTTCATCCGCCACAAAAAACCGCGTCGCTAGAATTTAGCAACACAAATTTTTTCCGTCGCTAGACTTAGTGACGGAAATGTCCGTCGCCAGAGGAAATAAATCCGTCGCTACATTTCTTTCGACGACGGATTCGAAGACGACATTTGTGAGCGAATAACGACGGAATATTCTATCGCTATAATTAGCGACGAAATTTACGTCGCTAAAGCAAAAAAAATCCGTCGTTAAGTTTCTATTACTACGATCCGACGACGAGATTTGCAATGGCTTAGCTACGAATTTTTCCGTCGCTACGGTCCGTCATTAATATAACGACAAAAACTATCCGTCACTATTCTTTTATTATTATTTGAATTAAATGTGATTTAACTACAATTTAGTGACAGAAATATTCGTCGCTAAATTTAACTACGGATTTTTTCGTTACTATTTCGTTGCCTTACTACTATATTTGTCCGTCGCTAAATTTTAAAAATTAATAAAACAATTGTACTCGCTAATTAATATTAGAAACTTGCATTAAGCCTATAATATAGTACTTGAATTATATAATTATAAAATATATTATATTAAAGCATTCAAAGTGAATAAAAACAAAAGTATAGTAGTATAATGTTACATCATTAGAACCAGTACCACATATAAATAAACATAATCTAATCATCTCTTAAATTTTCATCATTTGAATTAGCTGAATGTTCAGCTTGAGTACTTGAAGTGGATAGCATGTTGTTGCAACACAACTCATCCATCAAACTTGCATTTGAGTCTGCATTTAAGCCTGCATTTGAGTTCTTTTAACTTGTAGTTTAACTTCCATCTGAGCCTCCATCTCAACTCGCATAGTCTCTAACTGTTTGTTCACCATCTCCTTCATTCCCTCTTGTTGAAGTTGTGAAGTAGCAGATGAAGTTGTGAAGTAGCAGATGAACTACAACTATCCCCGCTGCTGATAAATGCGGATGACTTAGTCCCAAAGCCATAAATACGCTGTTTTTTTACTCATCCATCAAACTTGCAATCTGAACTTCTGAGCTTGCATTTGAGCCTGCATTTGAGTTCTTTCAACTTGTAGTTTAGCTTTCATCTGAGCCTCCATCTCAACTCGCATAGTCTCTAACTGTTTAATAAACATAATCTAATCATCTTCTAAGTTTTCATCATTTGAATTAGCTAAATGTTCAGCTAGAGTACTTGAAGTGAATAGCATGTCGTTGCGACGCAACTCATCCATCAAACTTGCAATCTGAACTTGCATTTGAGCCTGAATCTGAGCTTGCATTTGAGTCTGCATTTGAGTTCTTTCAACTTGTAGTTTAGCTTCCATTTGAGCCTCCATCTCAACTCGCATAGACTTTAACTATTTGTTCACCATCTCCTTCCTTCTCTCTTGTTGAAGTTGTGAAGTAGCATATGAACTACAGCTATTCCCGCTGATAAATGCAGATGACTTAGTCCCAAAGCCATAAATACATTGTTTTTTTACCCACCAACAACATTCACATACATTTGTGACATGTCTGGTGGCTCAGTTGACCCTTCCGCCTCTTGCATTGCAGCATCACGCCATGCTTGTATTTCGTCCTACAATTAATAACATATACAAAATAAGACAAGTATATAAAGGCATATAAGAATTTTATCTATTTAACAATATACAGTTGTTAGGTTATACTTACAGCGATTTTCTTTGACCTCTCATCAACGAATGTACCATCCTTCTTTTTGTGCGTATGAGCAAACCACTCAAACAGATCAAGCTCCTTTTAAAGTTTATCCCGCTATTAAACAAGCACAAACAATAAAATAATACTTAAATGCGTAAAATATATACAAATAATAAATTTTTATGTTAAATGTATTACCAATGTGTGAAAGTGCTCAATAGTTGATCTAGATCCTCCGGTATGTCAAGTCCTGCTACCTCACTCATCCTATTTTTGCATTGTTGTTCAAATTTAGCTTTCACTTCAAGCCTATCCCAATATGCCTCCCAAATGCGTATGTATCTGTTGTTCAGATTTAGCTTTCACTTCAAGCCTATCCCAATATGCCTCCCAAATGCGTATGTATCTTCATGTACACAATCTGGCTTCCCATATGAATTCCGATTCTTCTTCATTTTGGAGACCATATCTGTATAGCGTGTGCTTGCTTGTGTTAAAAAGGCTGTATGTACTCGACTATTAATGGACTCGTCCCACTTGAAAAATTTCTGTAACATTACAAATTTATAAAATATATGCAATATCATCCATAAGATGCATTGGACAAAGTTACTAACATAAATTAAATAACATTCTAGCTTCAAGAATGAACCACACTATTTTCAAAAACATATCGTGAATTTACCTTAAATTCTTCAAAGTATGATTCCTTGTACTCATTAGACAAGGTCTTCAAACCTTATCAATTGAAGAAGAGTTTGATGAATTTTCAGTGTAATAACGCAATTTCCAACCAAAAATTTTGATTATCAACTTAAAACTACAATTATACCACGATAGTATTAAGTGCTTAGACATCCATTTTGAGCTCACAAAGACAAAAAATAAAACACAATAGCTAAAAAGGTAGAGAAAGGAAATTTCGCTGTTCAAAGAATACATTAAAATAAAATAAAATAATCACTGTTTTAAAAGGGAATACTAACTTTAATATTTTAGGATTGTTCACATTTTACATTATGAACCGGATGGCCAAGTAGGTTTAGCAATTTGGCCTATCATAACATGATAAAAGTCATGCACATTTGAAAATGAGTATCAAAGTGAGAAAAGAAGCTGCTATAGTTAATAGCAGCATTCCCTATTATGACCAATTCAATAAGGTTTATATCATAGTCATGATTACATGTTAAACATTATATTAATTGTTCAAAACTACATTTAACGCAAACTAAATACAACCGTATAATAATTGTACTAATAAAGAAGGAATAAGACTACAAAGCCAATACAAGAAACCAAGTTTAATTTATATTATGAAGATAGGAGGAAGGCAAAAAATTGGGCAAAATGTGGGGCAAAATCTGAGAATGGGAGATTGGGCAGTGAAGGATTGCGTTCTTATCTTAATCAACCATTCCAGATCTTGGTTACGTTGGAAAAATGAAATTCCCAGATAAATCAATAAAATAAATACTTAATTTAAAGTAAAAACTAAAACGTACCGATCATTTCCTATGCCACACATCCCTATTGATAGGAGTTATCCGTGAGATATTCCGATTCCATCGCAATCCCTAATCACGATCTCATACTCTAATATGAATCCTTTAACAGAGAATACACCGTCAACACAATCCATGGAGCGAGTTGGATTGGCTTCTAAATCGAAGGAATTTTCGTGAGAGATTATGAAGAAAGATGGTAAGAAGGCGGCGCTGAAGTAGAAAGAGAGAAAACAAGGAATAGTAGGGTTGGCATTGCAAGCTGTAATATATTAAACACAAATTCCATATCGGTGGGCCTGCTCAAGACTATAGAGAAATACCATTCAATTCATTGGCGTTTGATAGTAAAATGGAAATTAGGAAGGTAAAAATTTGTAATTTTATGAGGAGAAATAAAATGTAATTTTTGGTCTCACGGGTGTGAATGTATTTCTATATTTGATCTTTAACTATTACGGAGTAATATTTTTAGACTTGGTCTTTGACTTTTATATCCTTACCACATTTGGTTCTTTATTATTAAAATTTTTAAATTTGGTGTCACGACTATTTAATCCTTGTCACATTTGGTCTCCGATTATTAAAATTTTCAAATTTGACCTCACAATTTTTAAATTTTTGCCACATTTAGTCCCAGACTATTAAAATTTTTATATTTAATCGGGTGATTCTCTAATCCCAAAATTAACAACTAATCTCCCTTCTAATTAAATAAATTGTATTTTCTATACAAAACATTCGGTGTTTGTAAATTTAAATTTGTAATATAATTTTAATTTGTTTAAATTCGATTTTAATATTATTAAAGTTTGTATATAAAATTTGTATTATGTAACCATAATATCATTAATTCAACACCATATTAACTTATAAAGAATTTGGAGGTAATTTTATTGTAGGACTAAATCTGTAAATTTTAATAGTCGGGGACCAAATGTGGTAATGATTTAAAAGTCGTAGGACCAAATCTCAAAATTTTAATAGTTGGGGACCAAATGTGGAAATAAGTTCATACTCGTAGGATCAAAAGTGGAAATAACTCAAAGAAGAAATTAGGTAGGGAAACATTGTAATTTTATGAGGAGAAATAAAATAGGAATTAAGTTTGATAGTAATGAGAAATTAGGGAGAAAAAAATTATAATTTTATGAGGAGAAATAAAGTTGGAATTCAAATTTTATTATTTGGTATATATAAGATTTGAATAGAAATAAGTAGTGTAAAAATTAAAATGTTATTGGTTTAATTACTCCAAGTAGTATATTTAGTATACTAATATGTGTTCTATACTTTCTCAAACAATTTCAGCTCAAAAATCTAAATCCCCAACACCGGGGTTCAAACTTAGTCTGCGAGAATGAGCCAGAGATCATGGAGGAACAACAAAGAACCATGTCTAACTATACCAAAAATCACTACTACACAGAAGGTCTTTAACGTCAGTTATTTAGGGTCTTTAACGTGGATTAAAAAGTGACGTTGATGTAGGCGACATTGTATAGTAAACATACAACATCGGTTAAATAAAAATCGACGTCGTATATTTTTTTTATTTAATTAATAAAACTTACAACGTTAATTATTTCGTAATAACCAACGTTGTATACTTATTTTTTTAAAAAAAAATAAAAATATACAACGTCAGTTATCACGAAATAACCGACATTATAAGGTGATTTATTATTTTTTAAAAATATACATACAACGTCGGTTATTGCATATAATCGATATTGTATGTGTTTGTTTTTTTTTTTAAATATTACATTTATTTATCAATTTAGACCCAAAACTTGCTCAAATTACATATATCACAATCACATATTTTTTTATTTAATTATTAAAACTTACAACGTCAATTATTTCGTAATAACCAACGTTGTATACTTATTTTTTTAAAAAAATAAAAATATTAACATCAGTTATTATGAAATAACCGACATTATAAGGTATTTATTATTTATTATTTTTTAAAAATATACATCGATGTCAGATATTATATATAACCAATATTGTATGTGTTTGTTTTTTTTTTTAATATTACATTTATTTATCAATTTAGACCCAAAACCTGTTCAAATTACATATATCACAACCACATCCAAAACTTATGCTCAAATATCGCATCACAACCACAACAAAACCTGTAGAATCTAAAATTTATAATCTCATAATTAATAAAAGTAATAAATCTCACAATTAATACAATTTAAAATTATCAAGCTAAGATCAATTTTTTTAATGCTACTGACTCTATTACAATATAGTATATGTTCATAACTACTTTCTCAACCTACTGAAGCACAAAAAGTCAATAACGTCTCCATTAAGACTCGAACTCACAACCTCCCATATGGGAGTCCAACCCGAGTGCCATCTGTGGTGTTTGGTAACTAAGATAAATTATATTATTTCACATACTAAAATGTATTTAACCATTCATAAATTAAGAACTTGGCCAATGTCTCTAAATTAATCAATCTCTTGTTGATTGTAGCTCGATCCACCAACTCTCTCAACGATCTACAAAGTTGATAATTAATAAATAATTAGTAAGCTAGCATTTTTAAAAATTAGAATGAGAAAGATATTTTATTAAATTACTTGCCTTATTCATTCCTCCGCATGCTTCTTTGGAAAGAATTTCAAACATGTATTTCATCACTTAATATCCACATTCAGTACTTCCAACTTGTTGGGCACACAACATTTGAATTAAAATATAATTAGAATTTTATTTAATAAAAAACAATAAAATATATGTAGTTTTACAAATGTATAAAATACTTACCAAAACACTAATCCATTTTGGTTGCCGAGTTGGTTTCTTTCCACTCAACAAACTTGTTGATTTCACACACCTAAAATAATAAGAGATAAGTATACATAAATATTTTATGACATCGTACTTTATTAATAATATAATTATTATACATTTCAACTATATCTTTAATGTCATCACATGGTTCGCCTCCCATGGAATCAAACCAATAGATTTTGAGTAAAAATTGCCATCAACATCCAATGCCCACTACAAATAAATAATTTATTAGTTGTACTCTCTTACCATCATCGGGAAACGAAAGGGCTGCGGTGAGAGGGAGACAAGAAATCCAGAAGATCTGGAGGTAGTGCAATAGCTGGGAGGATCTTCCTCAAAGGTAAATAACAATGGAACCAGTCAGCAAAACACTTGGGAAGTATAAGCAACAATTGATGAATAACCTCACAGAAAAGGAAGTTACGGTCACTGAGTTATTGGCTTCGGTCACTAAGTTATTGGCTTCGATGGATAAGTGACATGAACATGTAGCCAGTAAAGACAGTGAAATACTTAATGCCCTCAACAGCATCCGTGAAGCCCAGCAAGAGCTTACTTCAATAACTAACCAGCTCGAAAGCATCTTGGCCGATCATAAACTTTTCTTCTCTAAGACCTTCGAGGCTTCGATGGATAAGTGACATGAACATGTAGCCAGTAAAGACAGTGAAATACTTAATGCCCTCAACAGCATCCGTGAAGCCCAACAAGAGCTTACTTCAATAACTAACCAGCTCCAAAGTAGCTCCAAAGTATCTTGGCCGATCATAAACTTTTCTTCTCTAAGACCTTCGAAGAACCTGGGACTTATAAATCCTAACCCGCGTCATCTTCTCCTGTTGCACCAGTATCTCTCGAAGCCCAAAATGCTGAGTACCGTAAGGATCATTCCCTTTTGAAGGAGAAAATTAACAAAAATGTTGTGAAGATTGACGAAATCTTTGATCATTTGTGTGCCGTTGAGAAGAATGTCGATGATCACGGTTCAAGAATACTTGCGGTGACAAATTTCATTTCTAAGGCAAACAAAAGCCTCTCTGCAGCTCACGACGCAATCAACCGTTCTTTGGATTGAGTGTTCAAGACCTGTGAAGGGCAAATTATGTTGTGCATCTGTATGCACCATGCATGGTGCATACAGATGCACACGACGTCGTTTTAGACTAAGGACGCGGTGTTTTATAAAATAAAAAAAGAAAATTCCGTTAACGGCGTTTATTTCCTTTTGAGTTTGTTTCCAAGTTTCAAACTCGACCGTTGGCAGTTGTTCGCTGTGGTATTGGCATTCGATATCACCGGAATCGCGATTGTAATCTCAATCGCAATTGCAAATCGAAATCGCAGTTGGGATCGGAATTTACAAAGTGATTACTAGATGGAGGATGGAACAGAGCAGACGAATTCCGCAGTTGGTGATTGGCATTCGATTCAAGGTGATCTTGTTATTGTTTTTGCATTTGTTCCTTTGCTTTTTTGTATGATTCTGTGATTCATTATGATACAATTGTTGTTAGCAGTGATGTTTGTGTCTAGAATCTACCATTAGTTGTGCAAATATGTATACAAAATCACGTAAGTATATTTCCATAATTGTATAACAACAATTCCAGAATTTCAAAACAATAATTCCATAATTTCATAACTATATTTCCAAAATTGCATGTCTATATATTCAGAATTAGCGGGGTACTCTGTTTTGGCAGTTTGTTGCGTCTGTGTATCCAGAACTGTATAACTATATTTCCATAATCACATAACTATATATCCAGAATCTGTAGGCACTCTGTTTTTGCTGTTTGATGAACTGTTTGAAGTAATGTTCACCATGTCTATATAATGTAGTTAGTGAAGGCATTGTGGATGGTTCAGTGAGTTCAGATCAAGTAGATGTAGATGTTGATGGATCTTCATCAGTTCCAGGTTTATTCATAGTGGTTTACCTTTTAATTAGTAAATTCTGCTTAGGAATTATATGTTAATGGAAATGGTTATTATTGTGTTATATTTGCAGTTGATCAAGATTTGGTTGGTTTGGTAGTAAGTAATGTTGATGAGGCTTTTGAGTTGTATAACAGTTATGCATATAGACTTGGTTTTAGTGTGAGGAAGGGTCATCAACGATACAAGGGATCTACGAACACAATTCAAATGAAGAACTTTTGTTGTTCTAAGGCTGGTTATAAGGCAAACAATGGGGTTAAGGCTTATTCCAAAATTGACACAAGGACAGGGTGTGGAGCGTTTGTTCAATTTGACGTGGGTGATGATGGGTTGTGGACAGTTACAAAACACGAGAAAATGCACAATCACGAGTTATGTGTGTTCAACAAAAGTCATCTACTTCGTTCACATAGGAGTGTCGGAGATAATCAGCTCTTATATTTACAAGGTTTGAAGGACAGTGGAGTTGCACTGGCAGATGGTATTAGGTTCCTAAAACACCAATCAGGGGGGTCCCCTTTAGTTGGTTTCACCAATAGAGATGCTTATAATTCAATGGCTACGGATACAGTCAAGCGATTGGATGGAACGGATTCTAACTCTTTAATTGAAATTTTTAGGAGGAGGCAGTCTACCGAGACTGATTTTTTCTTTGATTTTGAACTTGATTTGGGTGCAAGATTGTGCTGTTTTTTTTTTTTGGAGGGATTTTGTTTTATAGTTTTTCTCTTTTCTCTTGCACCAGGGACGATGCAAAGTTTTAAGTGTGGGGGGAGGAATCATTAATTTAGGGATATTTCTGGGGATATTTCTAAAATTTTAAAAATTTTTGCTTTTGCTTGGATGACTCATATGCTATTTTTGGTGAATAAGTTACTTGTCTTAGCATGCAGTTACAATTACTCTCTCTTGTTGGTTTGTGGTTTGTTTTAGTGGTGCTTGCTGCATCTTAATTTGTGATGGATGATTTGAGGTGTAACACATATTTGATCTATTCCCTTGCCAATAGCTTTGTTAACCACTTAATAATTGGATTAATCCTTGATCTTGTGTTTTGCATTGCTAGTGAAGGGTTATGTGAGATTCCGGTCATGGGTGTTTTTGCTAGAACTTGCCTCATTACTCCCTAAGTGATGTCTAAGTTTTGCATGTTTTGAAGTGATTTAGGCCATTATTGTTTAGCCATAGCCTTTAAACCTGTCCCTATATATATTTTTATCCTTCGTGTCCCCATTGTGCCTTTTGTTTGTTCAAATAAGTGCTAAGCGCTTATCCCCTCTTCGTGATTATTTTTCTTTGATTTACCCCATTATTATAACCCTTAGCCCGTGGCCAAGTATTTCCCTTCCACCCTTGAGAGAATGAAACTTTTATCTTTATCTTTTCCGTAAGAAGAGTTTTTATGGAGTTGTGCTACGAAAAAAAAGCAGCTAGTGTTACAAATGTTCAAGTGTGGAGGTCATGAAAGTTTGGATTAAAATTATCTTGCTATATCCAAAAGAAGTCCAAAGACAAAGAAAAGAATGAAAAAAAAAAAAAGAAAAAAAAAAAGATTGAAAGTTTTTTAGTTTGGATCCCCACTTTACCAAAGAGTTGCTAAGTTCTTAAAAGAAGTTTGCTCCTTGGAATTATGATTATCTCATCTCTTCCAAATTTTGAAAAGTTTAGATAAATTGTGACATTCTCTCTTTTTGATTTATTTTTCCATACCACTTCTTTGCCAGCCGTCACCCGTAGCCCCATTACAAGCTTAATAAAGTCCTATTTGATCTTAGCATGCATTCTTAGATTTGATCTAGGGGAGTATGAAGGGCAAGCCTATGGGATCTCATTCTTGAGCCGTGTCTTGCATAATCTCAACTGAGTACTTGTACACAATTGATCCTCACACACTTTAAATTCTTGGCGCTCGGTTTTTGGCTTGGAAATGGGTCTCTTATGTGCCAAACTAATTTGATTCTTGAAGCTTGTTGTTTTGTAGCAAGTGGGTTGGTGGTTTGAAAGGTTGTGCAAGAGAGAGCATGAGTAATTTGTACGTTTTGACTTGTGATTTTATTCCTTAGTTTTGCTTGAGGACAAGCAAAAGCTTAAGTGTGAGGGGGTGATGTTATCACATCTGTGCTTGTTTTTATGGTTATTTTGAATCATCACAGTAATTAAGCTCTTTAATTTTGCTTATTTAATACATATTTTCCTTGCTATTATCATTTAATTATGGTTCGCACTTGTTTTGAATATTTTACGGTGTTTGTTAGTGTTTTTGAACCATTTTAGGTCAAAGATATGACCAAGGGGAGTTCAAGGATGAGTTTGGAGCAATTTTGGATGAGTTCGGGGCCCAGTGGACTCGACGCGTCGAGCCAAGGGCTCGACACGTCGAAATTTTCCAGTAGCTAATTAATTCGTGCACAGGAAGTCTCGACGCGTCGAGAAAATTCTCGACGCGTCGAATATGTGTCTGTTTCTGGGATAAAAACAGACGCCTAAAGTGGCGCGGATAAAAAAACAGACGCTTAAAGTGGCGCAGCTGGGCAAAATTCAATACAAGCGCGAGATCTCTTTTCCTAATATCAATTGCGCGGATTTCAAGGCTCATATCTCCATATTAAAAGTTAGCAATTCAAGGAATCTTCCAAATTCTAAATATCATTAAAGACGACAATTTCTTTATTTAAATATAGGAATTAGAATTTGAGTCCAATTTGGTACAAGATTCCTATTTCATCTCAACTTTGTACCCACTATAAAATCCCTCCTTCCTCAAACCTAAGAAGAGGGACCGAGACCGGGAGAATTCAGAGATTCTTGGAGACAAGAAGGAGAGAAATCAAGAGCCACAAGTTGTCTTGGAAAGCAAGAAGAAGACTAGGGAGATTTGGGAAAATCGTCTGGTTAATTCTTGTACTCTTTTGATAATTTGTAATTCTTTATTTATATTTGCTATGTATAATTTAGTCATGCTTGGCTAAATTCTTTAGAGATTCTTGGGTAAAAGTGTTTATGAACCTATGTGCCTGAGCTCTCAGTTTCTTTAAAATATTATTATTTGGGTTTAATACTTGTGTTGCAATCGTGATAATATTGTTTGATGCTTGTAATTAATGGCCATAGTTACTAGCTTCATAGCCATGTTTGTGTCACCAATGGGAGTTGGGGCATAAATTAGGGTACACACAATTGCACCTAATGGTTGGTCCTTGAGAAAGGGGAACTTATTAGGGGAAGTTTATTCTAGATTGTTGCCAATCGGGAGATGGTAGTAATTAGGAAAAATTGAATGCTGATCTTTGATCTTATTGGGTGTTTAAGCCATGGGAGTGGAAATTCACTAGGAATAGAGATTACGAGAGTAATTCGATTCCACTTTGCATTCCCACACAAATCTTAATTCCAAACTAAATATTGCAAACGATAATTGGCACTAGGTGATTAAATACTTGAATCCCATGAATCTTAACTTCTCTCTAATTGTTTTCAAAATCCTGAACCTCTGTTTTATTTTATTTATTTTATGCCAATCAATCATCTATGTAATTGTCAGGATTGGCTCTAATGAATAAGTTAGTAACTAGTGCTTGATACAACCACTTCCCTGTGGATCGATAACTCGTACTCCGAGAATTATTTGTTTGCAAATATACTACGCATCATGGTCAAATGAGACGAGATTACGAGGTGTTTGGGGATTTGTTAGTGCATGATACGACATATCGCACAAACAAATATGATATGATTTGTGGCCCTTTCGTAGGGATGAATCACCATTGCATGAATGTAATGTTTGGATGCGGGTTTTTGATGAACGAGATGATAGAATCGTTTGTGTGGTTGTTTAAAGCGTTTTTAAGATCTATGGGTGGCAAGTGTCCACAGACTATTATGACAGATCAATGTGCAGTTATGACTGCTGCTATATCTAAAGTGTTTCCAACATCACGTCACCGTATTTGCATATGGCATATTGGTGAGAATTCAAAGAAGCATATCAAGACGTTAAGGAACAATAAGGATTTCTTGGATACGTTTAACTACGTGTTGAAATACACAAAGACCGAAGCTGAATTTCAATTCTATTGGACAAGGTATGTTAGTAATTAATCGTTTTTATTGGATTATATTTCATATGTATGTAGTATTACCCGTTCTGATCATTTAGTATATTTATTACAGATGTATATGAATTGTGGATGTATAGTTTAACTATTATGGATGTATAGTATAGTAATTATGGATGTATAGCAGGTGAACTGACTGGTGGTCACTGGAAATGTAGTTTATGGATTATGGATGTATAGTGTATCAATTATAGATATATAGTATTTCGATTATGGATATATAGCAGTTGAACTTACTGGTGGTGCCTGGACATGTAGTATATGGATTATGGATATATAGTCTATCAATTATGGACATATAGTATTCCAATTATGTATATATAGCACTAGAAATTCTGAGTATGTGTTAGATGTGGTGATGCTGTTTGCTAATATTCTGCTTCATAAACATTTTGGATTTTGTCTTACCATTTTCAGGTTGGTGACTGACTATAAATGTCACAAGAATACTTGGTTAGAAAAGTCATATGACTGTAGGGAGAAGTGGTGTCTAGCATTTAACAAGGACTATTTTTCTGGTGGCATTCTATCGTCACAAAGGAGTGAAACTACAAATCACTCGATTTCTAGAAGGTTGTCTAAGACAGCGGGTCTTTGTGATTTCTATTCATCGTTTGTAAGCGTAATTTCTGAATGGAGAAGTAAAGAGAATTGTGAAGACTTTCGGTGTGCTCAAGGAGTACCCGTTATGATGATGGAGCATGTGAAACTTCTTTCACATGCTAGAGAGGTATACACGATTGAGATATATTTTCTGTTTGAGGAACAATTCATGAAAGGCAATGTCTGTCATCAAGAGATGGTGTTGAATGATGGCCGTCAACAGAAGTATCACGTGTGGCGACCAGATATAGATATTATAAGGCATGAGGTTAGTTTTAACCCAGCCAACTTGGACATTTCTTGTAGTTGCAAGTTGATTTGTGAGTTGGGAATTCTATGTTGTCATTGTCTACGCATTTTTCATGTACATTGTGTTTCTAGTATCCCCGACAAATATATCCTTAAAAGATGGACTAAAAAGGTCATTGATGGTAGGAATGTCAACATTGATTCTATGGTTTATAATGTTTGTATCCCTCCATCAATTTGGGTGTTCGATATTAGTAGGAAATTTCAAAGATTAGTTGTTTCTAGTCAAGATAGTAGTGTAGCCAGGAAACTGTGTGACGAAGCTGTTGATGATGTAAAGAAAAAGGTTGAAGCCGAGATTGGGAATGTGCATATTGAAGAGTGTGGTGTTTCATCTTCAAGTGGTGGTGTACAAAATCCTTCAAGCCGGAGATTGAAAGGTGAGCGTAATAAAAGGAGGAATGGTGTTATTGAAAAGAAGTACAGTCTTGCAAGGGGGAGAAGGAGTGCTGCAAATAAAGCTGCATTGAGTACAAAGGGTGCTGTTCGGTCTTTGGTGTTGGAAAACATATCCAAGCTTGCTGGGGATGGATACCTCGTACATCCAAGTTCTTCGAGTTCAGATTTTGTTCAGTTTAGTAAGGGTTTAGATGACAATGTAGGTGTAGATTGAGAAATACAAGTTGTTATCATTGATTTTATGCAATTCTGGACTTATAGGTCTGTAATTCTGGATATGTAGTTTTGCAATTATGGAACTATAGTTTTGAAATTATGGAATTATAGTTATGCAATTATGGAATTATAGTCATGCAATTATGAAAATATAGTTATGCATTTATGCATGTGTAGTTTCCATAGTGATGGAATTTGTAGTTACCAAATTGTGGTGTATAGTTATGCAATTATGGATGTATAGTTTTGCAATTATGGTATTATTGTTACGTAATTATGGAACTATAGTTATGCAATTATGGAATTGTAGATATGCAATTATGGAATTATAGTTTTGAAATTATGGAATTATAGTTATGCAATTATGGAATTATAGTTATGCAATTATGAAATTATAGTAGTCATGCAATTATAGATTTGATACGTGAAAAACAAAAAAAAAAAAAAACAAAAAAAAACAAAAAAACAAAAAAAAAAGTGGTGCATAAATCATATGTAAATTTGTATTCAGCTATTAACATCATGCATTCACAGAGACAAGTCACACTGTCAGTGTAGATCACAAAAACTTTCAAATTCTTAGAATTCAGTCAACATGTTGAAAAATATTCATTCACTTCTTCTTGGAGACACTTTTGGCCGCTCGTAGAACCTCCCCCCTGACTGCGTTCATCCTCCACTTTATGAGATTAGCAGCATATTTCGTTCGCAGTTCGTACATGAAGTTTGCCTATAAACAAAGAACATTAAGTAATTAGTCATTTGCAGTTTTTGTTTTTAATGTATTTTGAAAGTATAATATGTATTGTAGTCTTACATTCAAGCGCATATTCTTCTTGAATCCTGGCTGCCAGTCTTGTAGAGTCCCTCGGTATGTCTCCATATGCCGGAGTACATAGATTCAGTAATCAGTGACATTTTCAATGTTTGCCCAATCCAACTTAAAGTACTCTATTGCAACTTTTTGCAATTTCACATACAGGGAGTGGCACTCGGCCTTAAGGTAACCACTGAATGCTTCAATCTGGTCAAAAAACTTAGTTTAGTGTTGATAATGCTTTTAAGTCAATGGATAGGTAATAGTAAGAATGTCAAGGTTTTTTTTTTTTTTTATCAATTTTACCAATAAGTGTGGGCAGTTGCCATATTTGTCCTTCTCTGAAACATCAGCTGGTAACTCCTTGTTGTCCATGACCTGTACTTTATGTTCTTTCACGTTGAAGCAGACCAAGAAGTAGTGATCATGGCGATGAATTGGGAAAAATATCTAATTCCAATTCAAAGTTAAAGCAATGTTAGTATTTTTTGGACATGATAAAGTCAAATTGGACATGGGTAATAGAACTTACCAGATCTGCATCACTGATGTCTAGGTTCCTGAAGCTGCTTATTTCATAGCTCAATCTCTCATTGAAATTCCTCCTTTTTATGTCAGCTGGGAGATCCTTCATCCACTGGTCTTTGGGATCAATTTGAAGCTGTACACACAAATGCAGGAATGAGTAGTCATAATCCAAATAATATTTGTTGAAAATGTTAAAGTTATACATACAGAATTATATAACTACACTTCCAGAATTGCATAACTATAGTTCCATAATTTCATAACTATAATTCCAGAATTACAAAACTATAAAACCAGGGGTTCACAGGTACACATCCAGAATTGATTAACTACATATCCATAATCTGAAAACTATATATTCATAATTTGTGAACACTTACATGTACTAGGGTGGAGAAGTAGACCCGCTTTGTCTCCCCAACCGCACGGGACGTGTTTAGCAATGTAAAACGTAGGGACCAGACATCTAGGAAGCTGCTCAGTATCTCACCATTGCACAGAGTTGCAAAACCATCCCTTGACAAGTAATAATCACCATATTTGAACAATATCTCTCTACAATACAATAAATAAATAAATATAAGAACATAAATTAATGAATAAAATTTATGTAGAATATGTGGATGGAAACATACCCTCCCGGGTGCTCACTTGAGGCTTCCAAAAATGCGTAGTTTGAAACAACCTTTTCTTTGGGAGTTGCATTATGGATGGAGCCTTTGTTCTTAGTCCAGTATGGTGACCTCAAATAAAGTGGGATGTTTCTGTATTTGCGCACAGGTCTCTTTCTCACAGTAACATCCTCAACATCAGATCCACTTTCTTCCATAACTTTGTTGTTCAAAAAAAAACAGAGGCAGTTCATAAATCATAAGCTCAAAAGTATAATTCCAGAATTGTATAACTACACTTCCATAATCTGTAAACTATATGTCCATAATTTGAGAACTACATATCCATAATTGTAACAATCAATGTCAATAGTTGAATAAGAATATATTCATAATAATCAAACTTAATATTCATAATTTTTGACCAATTGAAAACCATATTCATAGTCTAAATCTGCATAAGAAAGCAGTAACCGACTTATCAAATTCATCAAACTCAGCAGCAGCTTCGGCAGCAAGGGTAGTAGGAGTGGTGAATTTTTCGAATGGCACTCTAATTAGTAATGGAGTTGTTTCCTTCGCCGTTGAGGTTGATACTCCCGCACTCCTCACAATGTTATCCACCAGGGTGTCCAAAGGTTGCTGTTGAGATGGTGGTGGGGTTGGTGTAGAGCGTCCAAGTAGCTCAAATGATGGGGGTTCTAGTTCCATTTCTTTTCTGGTTTTTTCAAAAGTCTCTACCAGAGAATCAACTGCTGATGTGAAGCTTTCACTTCCAAAGAAGATGTCATCCAACTGCGAGGCAGTTGGGCTAGAAGTCGGTTGAATTGTGCTTGCAGCACTCAGCATTGTTGAGATTCCTGAAAAAGCCCTCTTCATGATGTCAACCGGGGCCCCTTGCTTGCCAATGTCAGACATGACCTGACCAAATTCAAGGACATCTGCCGTAAGCCGTTGAAGCACATGTGTTACTCTATCAACATTAGACAGAGGCACAGATGGAGCTGGAATAGATGGTGTAGCAACAGGGCTGCACACTGGCCTTGGTATTGCAGCAGGAGGAAGTGCAGGTCGGGGTGATGACGTTGATGAAATAGCAATAGGCCTCTGAAATCGAGGGATAACTTGCCATTACCAAAACCCCCTGATCTTATCTCAGCTAATACTCATTTTCGTACAAGCATTTTTGTCCAAGCTTTGATCGCCGGGAATGTTCGGTTAACAGTCATCCCATTGAACTCTACTCGGTCAAAGTAGAAGAGCTTCAAGAATTACAGAAGAGTATGTTAAAAAATTGAATAACTACACATCCAGAATTGCACAGTTACACACCCATGATTGGACATCTATAATTCCATAATTGAATAACTACATATTCAGAATTGTATGGCTACACATTCTTATTTGCATAACTATAATTCCATAATTATAAAACTACATATCCAGAATTGTATAACTATAATTCCATAATTGCATGACTATAATTCCATAATTGAATGACTATAATTCTATAATTACAAAACCACACATCCATAATTGCATAACTACAATTCCATAATTACAAAACTATTATTCCATAATTGCAAAACCACAATTCCATAATTACAAAACTACACATCTATAGGTGCATAACCACACATCCAGAATTGCATAACTATAATTACATAATTGCAAAACTATAATTCCATAATTGCATGACTGTAATTCCATAATTACAAAAGCACACATTCATAATTAGATAACTATAATTCCATAATTGAAAAACTATAATTCCATAATTTCAAAACCATAATTCCATAACTTCAAAACTACACATCCATAGGTGCATAACCACACATCCAGAATTGCATATCTACAATTACATAATTGCATAAATATAATTCCATAATTAGAACAGTTTATGTATAATGGGATCTTACCAGGATGAATACCATTGGACCTCTAAAGGATCTTGTAGGACTGTCTTTGTAAATCTCATATGAATCAATGAAAGACCTGTACGTGTATCGGCACCAATTCAGTCTTGAGATTGCCCGGATGTTGAGCAATGACTTGAGAACTCGGTAGTTGGCATATCTTCCAGTGTTTCCTCGGAGCAAAGAGGAAACAGCAAACACCACAAAGTCTCTTTTGAAGGCATCACCATGGTCACCTCTCCTGATTATCTCATCAGGCATCTTGGTTGTTATGGGTGACCCTGACTTGACATTCCACATTTTCCTCCAGTCAGTTAGGAGCTTATTATATGCAGCCGAATTTTCCTCAGACTTTCTACCCTCCTCAACATCTCTCTTTCCCCCTCTTCACCGACATGTAGAATGTCACCATCCAATATAAAGTCTGACTTGAAAACATCAAACCTTTTCAGAAGATACTCAACAAGTTGTGAGTAATTGCTTGAGAATTGTAGGTGTAGCAGCCCTCCAAAACCAATATCAACCACAGCATCCTTTTGTTCCTGTGTTAGACGTTGGACAAGCTCATACATTTGTTTGGGACCCATCCGTGTACTGAAATAATCCACGTCAGGGTCCCGTACTTGCTCTCGCTTTGGTGGTTGTGCCCTCTTTCTTTTCGTAGCAGCTGGTTGTTGCCTTGTAGAAGGCTCTGCAGGATCTTCTTAGGCAGGGGTGAGCTGAGCAGCCTGTGAGCTCAATATTGCTCTGATTTTTGTCCTTTTTACCGACTTCACAAATTGCCCAAGCGTAGTGTCATCTCCCATATTTGAGTCTTCCATTTCTGCAAATAAAAGACATTAAGTAAGGTTCACAGAGTACACAAGGCAAGTTATGCTAAAAAGGATTTGAATACGGTTTGGTGCACAGAGTAAAGTTCACAAAGTACTACATCCAAAACTGTATAACTACAATTCCATAAACGCACAATTATACTTCCAAAATTGTACAACTACAATTCCATAAATATACCCACAAGGCAAATTATGTTAAAAAGGCATGAATGCAGTTTGGTGCACAGAGTAAGGTTAACAGAGTACTATATCCAAAACTGTATAACTACAATTTCATAAACGCACAACTATACTTCCAAAATTGTACAACTACAGTTCCATAAACTCATAAATATACTCATAAACTCATAATCATAACCATACACGTTCATAATTAAATAATTATACATTCATACAAGATTAAACAGTCTAAAACCCTAGTTTAAAATTTCATAAACATATACTCAAAATCAATGCTTGAATGCATTTATACCTATTATAGGAAGAAGATGAGCTCTGCTGTACAGAGAAAGCGCAGTTGAATGTGTGATGATCGGAGGCCGGCGACAAAAGTGATGAAGAGTGTGTGCGAAACCTAGAAAATGCTGAAGAAATGCTAAGGAAATGGAGATGATCAAGCGTCTGGGGAGGGTATCGTGTTGGAGAAGAAAGGAAGTGCGGGAAGTGAAATGCAATGGGAGAGGAAACGAAGGAACAAGGTTTTATATTTAAAAAAAAAAAAAAAATCTGATTGGTGGAGTGAAACGGTGCCACTAACGGCACCGTTACTCCTAAACGACGTCGTGTGCATCCGGATGCACCAAGAATGGTGCATACGGATGCACAGCATAACGATTGCCTGTGAAGGGCTTCTTCATCAGTAGTATTACCTTTGGAGGGCTATTTTTCTTTATGGTTTTTGGTGGGGATTATACCCTGGTCGGATCGGGTCGCATTGCCCGGTCACCTGACCCGCTTGGGGGGGCCGCTCAAAGAAGTCGTTTGGTCAGCCTCTTAGGCCGGACCTCCCGGTCACCCGGTCATCTCTGGAAGCTGAGACGCTCGGTGGGCCCTGCTCCTCCTTGGTCGGTGACCGGGAAGACCGACCAGGCGGGGCTGGGTCCCCTTGTTGGCAGATAACTCGCGCCACGTGTGCGGTTGCATGTTCGCCTCGGCTAGACCCGATGCATGGGCGCCACGTGCCCGTCATGCCGGAGGGCCGGGTGCTGTTCCCTATGTCTCTTATAAATACCGCATTAAATGCTGGAGAGAAGGGCTTTTGAATTAAGCTACTTACTAGATTAGAGAGGATCCCGATCATCATATACGATCGATCTATCTGTAACTCTACTGTAACCTATACGTATCAATACACTGTTATTTTATCCACATCAGTTTTCATTACATTTGAGTAGAAATTGTTCACAGTCAATCAAACTATTGAAATCGACAGTTGATGTGTAGTGGATTTTTGTCCAACCAGTAGTTGAATTATGATGTTATGATATTATAAATTGCAATGAAAAAAAAAAATTTATTAATTGTAAGTAAATATAATATATAAAAGAAGTATATTATATATAATTTATTTTATTTAAAACAATTAAAACTTACTTTAAAACATATGGGGCTAATAACATTGTTTATGTTTATATTGCATGGTGACATTTATATACCTTGTCCATTCATCTCCACTATTCAATTTTGGTTGAATGGACATCCATTGTCATAATTATACTTTTTAAAGAAAGCAGAAAGGGGAAAAACAAAAAGAAAGTGGCTATCAAGTATACTCAACTGGATGACACTATTTATATGTTAATGCACTCTCTCACAAATTTTAAAATCAAAAGTTCTTCCAGCCATGCAGAACACTTATCATAAGCATGATGGGCACAATTGGTGCTGGCTACCTTAAGAGAAGGCATGCATAGCTAATATTGATAGTTATAGAGTTGCTAAAGTACTATTTACTTTAGTTTACTGTCTTACAGCCCGTTTGGTTCGTTGAAAAATATTTGAAGGGAAATGGAATTCAAATTCCATGGAAAACAAATTACCAGGAAAATAGATTCCATTGTTTGGTTAGTGGAAAAGAAATTACTGGGAATATGAATTTCATTGTTTGGTTGGATTTGGAATGGTAAGGAATTATGAATATAAAGACCAATATGCCCTTAACAATAATTTATACATGTGTAGTTAATAAATTTTGATAAGGGCAAAATAGTCCAATATTACTATATTTTCTTCCCAACTCATTTGGAAAACAAAATACCAATGTTTGGGTAGGATTTTCTTTTCCTTCACCTTTGGGAAGTCAAATTCCCATGGAAAAGATTTTCCATCCAACCAAACAAGGTAAAACAACATTTTCCTACATCTCATGGAAAATCTTTTTCATGGAATTTGATTTCCATCCAACCAAACACCCCCTTTACAGTATCTTAGCTAGCTTTTAGCTGTATTAGTAACATTCAAATTTTAGCAAATTCATCCTAGCCTAGTTGGGATGGTGTTTTGTTATTTAAACACTACAAAGCAAAAGAAAAGGGGTCAGAGTTTACAGTAAACATTTTTTAGTTTATTCCCATGCTGCACTATCAGATATTCAGGTCCCATGCCTGGTGAAACTCTGGTATCATCCGATTAACAACTGAGTCATCAACTTAAACACATTCACCAATTGTCTATGCGTCATAAAATATTCAAACATTTTCACAAAAAGTATACCAAGTATATATATGCTCTAATTAAAGTATACACAAGATTAGAGTCTTTGCAATGCAATTATATATATCAGTTATATATATGCTCAAAGAATCCTAAGCTCAACTTGTTCCCAGTAATACCATTAAAAACCAATCCTCAAACTTCAATAATAATAATAATAATGAACAAGTTTTTGAAAAGTCATTTAAATACAATAGATGAAGCTCTAGATCTCTTTCAGAACATAAAACTACAAAGAGGCAATACTCCTTTTCTAATGCCAGATAAATCAATAAAATAAATACTAAAGTAAAAACTAAAGCATTGATACATACCGATCATTTCCTATGCCACTCATTCCTATTGAGAGGACTTATCCGTGAGATATTCCGATTCCATCGCAATCTCTAATCACGATCTCATACTCTAATATGAATCCTTTAACAGAGAATACACCATCAACACAATCCATGGAGCGAGTTGGATTGCTTTCTAAACCGAACGAATTTTCGTGAGAGATTACGAAGTAAGATTGTAAGAAGGCGGCGCCGGGGCTGGAGTAGATAGAGGAAAAACAAGGAATACTAGGGTTGGCAAGCTGTAATATATTAAACAGAAATTCCAACCTAAAGTATCGGTGGGCCTGCTCAAGACTTTACAAGGCGTTTGGTTGGAGGGTATTTAAATTGGCAAATTATGCCCTGGACCCGTGTTCACAGTGAATTGTGGGCACGGGCCCAAAACGACGTTGTTTTTCAAAAAAAATGTGTCATTTAGTTAAAAAAAAAAAAAAAAAAAAAAAAAATCGCGCGCGTTTTGGCGTTAACGGCGTTATTTTTTTTTTGATTATGAATGTACAGTTATGCCGTTATGAATGTACATTTATGCAATTATGAAATTATGAACACAGAGCTCTAACATTATGAACTTACAATTATGAACATATATAGTGATAAAATTATGACCATGGAGCTTTAAAATTGTGAATATAAAGCTTCGAAGATTATGAATGTACAGTTATGAAGTTATGAATCTACAGTTATGGAGTTATGAATTTACAGTTATGAGATTATGAATCTACAGTTATGGAATTATGAATGTACAGTTATTGATCGAATTATGAACAAAGAGCTCTAACATTATGAACTTACAATTATGAACATATAGTGATAAAATTATGAACATAGAGCTCTAAAATTGTGAACATAGAGCTTCGAAAATTATGAATGTACAATTATAGAGTTATGAATGTACAGTTATGGAGTTATGAATGTACAGTTATTAATAATATAGTAATAAAATTATGAATATATACTCCTATAACAAATCGGTCTGAAATTTAAAAAAAAAAAAAAAAAAAAAAAAAAAAAAAAAAAGAGATAACAGTGCCTAACGGCACTGTTACCCGTGTCCAGCAAGCATGCTGGACACGGGTCCAACGCATAACGATTGATTTAAATTCCTTTTCCACTTAATTTCTACTTAATTTTAAAGGCCATAAAATTTCTCAGTTTAGTTGGAAGAAATTGCAATTCTATGAAATTGCAATTCCCTCATTTTTATGGAATTAAAATCTCATGTCTCCTTAGTATTTTAATTCCTAGGGTTTTAGGAAGAAAAAAAGTTAGTGATGAGACAAAATTACCTCTCCCTTTTTTAAACCTAAAATTAATACCACAACAACAATTGGCATTTTGGACTTTATACTATTTATTCCCTTCCAATTCTCATGTATACCAAACATTGGAATTGAAATTCCCAGTAATTCTATTCCAGTAAACTTAAACACTGGAATTTAAATTCCCACTTTATTCCCAGTAATTCATCTCCCATGGGATTGCAATTCCTTTCCCACGTAATTCCCCTCATCTAACCAAATACCCTATTAGGGGTGTTTGGTTCCGGTTATATAAGATAACCAAGGTTATATTTGCTTGATAATATAAAATTTTCATGTTTGGTTCATGTTATGTAACTTTCTCAAAAATTGACAATAACCTCCGCATTAAACTAAACACAGGAACCTAACATTCCCGCAATTTAAATTTGAAAATTTTAATAGTTGGGGATCAAATGTGAAAATGATTCCATACTCGTTAGACCAAAAGTGGGAATAACTCAAAGAAGAAATTAGGTAGGGAAAAATTTGTAATTTTATGAGGAGAAATAAAATAGGAATTAAGTTTGATAGTACTGAGAAAATTAGGGAGGAAAAGATTATAATTTTATAGGTAGAAATAAAGTTAGAATTCAAATTTTATTATTTGGTATATATAAGATTTGAATAGAAATAAGTAGTGTAAAAATTAAAATGTTCTTGGTTTAATTACTCCAACTTAAGAAGAGAAGGATATTTTTATCGAAACGAATGATATTTGGTAAAATTTTATTTCCTTACTATCAAATGAAGGAATTTTGCTTGTTCAAAAATAATGGGGAATGGAATTTCAACTCCTGCCATGTCTGCCAAACGCCACATGATTTTATATGGAAATTGAATTTTTATAATAGTTATGCTATGCATGGTGCACACGGTTACAAAACAACGTTGTTTTGATTAAAAACGCATCCCATTTAAAAAAAAAAATTCATTTTTGATTCTCGTCAGTAGCATTATTGTGGATATATAGTTATGAATTGTTGTGGATATATAGTTATGATTTTGTGGATAAATATTTATAAATTTGTGGATATATAGTTATGAATTTGTAGATATATAGTTATGAATTTATGGATATTTAGTTCATTCATTGTGGATATTTAGTTCATTCATTGTGGATGTTTAGTTCATTCATTGTGGATATTTAGTTTATTTATTCTGGATTTTGTGTTATTCATTCACTGTGGATATATAGTTATGAATTTGTGGATATATAGTTATGAACTTGTAGATATATAGTTATGAATTTGTGGATATATAATTCAAAAAAAAATGTTATTACCGGGAATCGAACCTGAATTTTTTTTTTTTTAAATGAGACGCGCATTTTTAGTCAAAATGACGTCGTTTTTGCAACCGTGTGCACCATGTACAACATAATTTGCGGAATTTTTATACTATCCATGATTTGGTCAATTGGTCATTACCAAAGCATCAAATATGGGTTATATGGCCATCATTTTGTACATTAATTGGGCTTGTTCAATGTTAATAGGGGTTAGTATGAGCAAAGTACAGGTTTAAAGGTGTCTCTTATAATTAGATGTTACTAAGGACACATCGTGGTCTAAAAAAAAAAAGAAGAATATTGTTCTATTCTATTTATTTGTACCATTTGCAATACTTTTTTTTCTTCTTCCAAACGTTGAAATCGAGGTAATTCAACGACTTAGGAGATATTGTCAAATATCAGTGCACACAAAAGATTTGTTCACTTTAGGCATAATTCTCATACTGTTGCTGCCTTCTAAACTACTAAGCTAAGCATGTGCGGGCATTTACAACACTTTTATTTTTGTTCATGGGAATATGCATTGTTTAGTAACTCGTTTTATTCTTTGAAATAATATATCCAAAAGACCAAAAATGAATCGTTCCTCTCATTTAGAGAGTTAGTGTATGTTTGGTTCGCACATGAGAATCGGAATCGAAATGGGAATCAAATACTTGATAATGGTATAGGTTTTGGTAAAAGTATTTTGCATGTTTTGTAGTAGGGTGGAATTGGAATTATTACCAATATTGATGTTTGGTTATATATGTTGGTCCTGGTAGGGTCGAAAGAGAGTAAAGGAGGGGTGAATAGACTGTAATCGATTTTTCAAAGCAACTCCTTTTGGAGCTATGCACAACGAAAATAGCGTTTCGTCTTAGATACACTTTGCACATTTTCGTTATCAAGTTTTAGCGTTTGGTCAATATGATATGCAATGCATGAAAGTAATAAAGTAGTAAGTAAAGAGATATGGAGAGAGATTTTATAGTGGTTCGGCTGTTAACGAAGCCTACTCCACTCTTCTTTCACAACTCGTGAAAGGGTTTGCACTATCACTCCTAGTACAAACTACTTCAAGTTGGCTTCTTTGATCTTCTAAGCCGGACAGCCACTTGATAGGTTTTTCAACTCCTCGAGTTTGCTCCGCCTCTATCAACTTCTTCCTAAGTTGAGATGTTGGAAAGATAATATGGTGTTTCTCCAACTGGTTGAAGCCTTGTCTTGATATCTGGATGAATCTTCACTTGAAAATATGCAAGACTTCTTAGATTGTGAAGTATGGAAATGGATGAGCCTTTTGAAAAACTTCACATAAACACTAGTTGAGAAAAGCTTTTAAGAGATGGAACTGTTTGAAGAGCTTTTCTTTAGATTAGCAAGAGTGAAAATAACCAGCACCTTCTTTAATGGTGAAGAGATGTATTTATAGGAGGAAAAATTCATCCGTTGGACGGAGATGAAGATTTCAAACCTAATATCCAGTGTGTATTAACCAGTGGGCATCAACATTTAATGCACTTGTATTATGTAGCAGTTGGAGCCAAAAGTATTATGATTTTTGTCCTTGTTCTCTAACAAGATTGTACAAGTCTTTTAATGCTTATTGTCTTTTGTGAAGATCATTCCTAAGACACTTTTTGTCCGAATGATTTGCCCATCTGAGTCATAGACAACATTCTCATTGCTTCACTTAAATGAAGGTTGTCTTTTACAAGTCTGTCTTTGACTTGTTCACTCAGAGATGTTGGTCGAAAGATTGACTTTATCTTTCGTCCTTTCTCTTTGACGAGAGATCATTTTTGTCAAATGAAATCTATCCGAGACTTGCTCAATCCATCTTTCGTCTGGAAGCATCTTTCGATCATCTTGTCTTCTTCACGTCTTCAAGCATCTTTCGATCATCTTGTCTTCTTCACGTCTTCATGTAGACCTATTATGCTAGTCTCAACTACGATTCGTACACCTCATAGTGTGAATCAATCGTTGAGTTACAATAACTTTTGCCTATCACAAGAGACCTATCTACGAAAGAAAAATAGGGGTCTACAATCCTAAACAGTTTGGTATCATCAAAATCTAATTACACTTGTTCCTAACAATATATGACCTAATAATAATAGGAATAAATGTTTTAAAAGTATAAAAACAAAAAAAATTAAGGCAACTGATCCTAATATAATGACATCCAAAGCATCAATATGAACAAAAAAAAAAAAATCAAAACAAAAAGTTAGAAACACTAATCCAAACTTAAAAATCATATTATCAATGAGATGAAATGATACTTTTTTTAATTAGGGAATGAGGTTTTTAATTAAAAAGTAATCAAATCCTATAGTTATGTTTTAAAAAATTATCAACCAAACACTAACTATGATTTTGATTCTCATTCCTAATGTGTAAACCCATGAACCAAACATACCCTTAATTCCCTTTTTGGCCTACTTTGTATGGTGTTATGTTCACTTTTGTCCATATCATTAAAAAAAAAAAAGAATTAATTTCAGTAGAGGTCCATTATTTTTCGTGACAATTTCAAATTTAGCCCTACACATCGTTTTTGTCCTTTTAACATCCCACACTATTATTTTTTGGACACTTTTGATCTTTCCAATGACTTTTCTGGTGAAACCCTATCGC